AGAGCCAGCCAGCCCAGGGGGGGAAGGCGAGGCCGGGCTGGCCCTGGCCCCAAACGAGTGTGACTTCTGCGTGACAGCACCCCCACCGCTGCCTGTGGCTGTGGTGCAGGCCATCCTGGAAGGGAAAGGGAGCCTTAGCCCCGAGGGGCCCAGGAGTGCCCAGCAGCCTGAACCAAGAGGCCCCAGGGAGGTTCCTGACAGGTGAGCAGAGAGACCATTTTTGACTGTAAGCCCTGTGGGCCACTTCTGCAGCTAGATCAGCACTAACTAGCCCGCAGACTTCCCAGCCTTCTCTGCCCCTTGGTGGCTGGCTGGTCGGTTGGGCACCACGGTCTCACCTGATTTCTCAGAGCTGCTCTAAGGAGTACCAGCTTCAGAGGCCCCTAGAAAGTGGAAACATGTCAGTGGTAGGGCTCAGGAATCTGCATTTTAAATGCAACCACTGGGGTGCTTGTAAAGATTGTAAAGTACACAACAGTTTAAGAACCACTAATATTGATAATTGCATAGGGAGGGGACACAACCCAAACCTCAGGCCAAAAGTAGGAGGCAGAGGCACTCTCTGTGTGCCCCTCTATGTGTGTGGGGGGGATCCTCTTCCAGCATTTTCTATATGTTGTCAGATTTAGATCCTGATGTATTCAGGTTCATTGGGAACCTAATGGGGGGTGGGGTTGGGCACTGCAGGCCAACGGCACTTTTCCGTGCACAGGGGGCCTCTTGACCTGGAGAGAGGAGCCCGGAGCCCGGAGAGTCTGTTGCCTCCAATGCTGCTTCGGGCCCCCCCTGAAAGTGTGGAGCCTGCAGGGCCCCTAGATGTGAGTACACCTTCAGCAGGGCAGGGGCATGGGGCTTGGTGGGGTCCAGCTGTTTGTGCAGCCTGGGGAGGACACCACTGACCCAGAGCTCCCCCTAGGTGCTGGGCACCAGCCTCCAAGGGCGGGAGTGGACTCTCATGGACTTAGACATGGAGCTGTCCCTGGTAAGATGGGGGTGGGGAGGGCAGGGGGTTCAGGGTTGTTCAGCCAAGCCCTTTAGTCCACAGCTGTTCTCCCTCAGCCAAAGCCCCAGCTCCCCTCCCCAGCTGCTTCCTGGGGTTCTCTTATGCAGTTGCAGCCCTTGGTTCCAGAGAAGGGTGAGACTGAGCTGGCGGTCAAGGGGTTAAATTCTCCAGGGCCAGGTAATAATTGTGGTGACTCAGGACCTGGGGGAGGCCCTAAGGGGCCTGAGCTACCACGATTGTGTGGGCTGGGCAGTTGGTGTTTTGGAGGGAAATCCCCGGAGGCAGGCTGCCCTGCAGAGTACAGCTTAAGCTACTTGAGCCACTGGAAGAGAGTGGGGAGGTTGAGAGTGGGTGTTTCATCCTAACTGACCGGAGGGCAAGGCGAGTGAAGCTCTCCTTCCCTGAAGAAAGGAGGCGACCGTTTCTCCCCGCTGAGCACAGCCCCACTCCTCCTAGGGAAGGACTCCATGCTGGGGGCACCACTCCTGCTGGATGTCCAAGCTGCTTTGGGAGGCCCAGCCCTCAGCCTGCCGGGAGCTTTAACCATTTACAGTGCCCCTGAGAGCCGCGCCTCCTACCTGGGCCCAGGGGCCAACCCCTCCCCCTGAGAGCCCTCTCCACTCTGAAACCAGCCTGGCTGAGGGGCGGGCTGGCCGGCAGCACGCCCGGCTCGGCTTCCTTGAGCCCCTGCTGGAGGCTGAGTGAAGCCCCTCCTACTTTGGCAGCCCCTCTCCAATACCGAGCCCTGCATAAAACTGCGTTTTTTTCTGTGTTCCTGGTCTCTTTTTTCTACCGACCATGGAGCACAGAAGTCATGGGTGGGGGGGCGACTTGGCATTCGTAGCAGCGTCCAGATCCTAGGGCTTTAATCTTTAATCGAGGAACCCTTGAAGGGTGGAGGTGCTTGGGGAGCCTGCCTCTACTTCTCCTGGTTAGGCCCCATCCTCCGGGTCCGAATCCAGGGCTGGCGCGTGGCCACTGCGACTTCCGGGAAGCGGGGGCTTTTGGGGTCACACCCAGCACCGCAGTGCATCCGTTCTGTGAGCCTGGGTAAGCTAGTCTCCTCTGAGCCTTGTCTGTGACAGGCAGAGATGGGGCGACGAGAGGATAGGTGTAAAACGCCTGGGAATTGCCGGGGTACTTGGGGCCGCGGGCTTAACTGTCCCCTCCCTGACTCATCCGGCGCGCCCGGGGTGAAGAGGGAACGCAGACTACGTGCACGATCCCAGGCGGTACGCGGCCTCTGCGGCCTGCCTCCCCGCGTCCTGGGAAGAACGGCCCCCTTTCCCCACCCCCTCCCGGTTCCCGGCAGCCCTGGCCGGCCCGCCCCCGACGCAGCTGCTGCTTCCATCTCCCCCCCGCCCGGCCCTTTCTGCCTCGTCATCTCCTGCCCCGCCGAGGCTCGACCCGTGAGTGGGGCCGCCGGGAGCGCACGGACCGGGAGCTCCCCGGACCTCTGGCTGCGGTAGGGAAGAGAAACTGAGTTTGGGCAAAATCCGCGCCCCACCAAAACCAGCCGCACCCGAAGGAGGTCTGTGAGCCCCGCCCCTCGGCAGGACTCTAGCTTTGGGGCTGGGTGGAGGGGAGTTAAGGGTTCGCACGTGCGCAAAGGCTCCCGCAGTTTTCCACCACCTTCGCTCCCTAGCAAAAGGACGCGCGGGGAGCGAGGTGGGGAGGGCGGCAGAGACCCCGTCCACGCCTCGTAACTGGAGCTGCCTGGTGCTCCGGGAAGGATCTGGGCTGTGAGCACTGAAGGAGATAACTTCGGTATTCACTTCTGAGCATTGAGTTTCAGGGTGAGGACCTGTACCAGCTGGGATCTCTGCACCCCAGACAGGACAGAGGACAGGACTCGGGGTAACGGAAGGAGGAGGCTAACATGAAAAGAACTTGGGGAGGCATGAGAGAGAAGGAGGGGCCAGTCTAATCTTCCTCCTCCCTCTCTGCACCTGTACAGAGTCGGTTCTGTCCTCCCTCCCTCTCTTCCGGCACTCGATTTGGGGGACAGGCCTTGGAAGCCTCAAGTGAAGAGGGCAGAGGATCCACAGTACACAGTGCAGTGATGTCAGCCTAGTGGTGAGGGTATATGTTGTTCACTGGGGTACAGAGGAGAAGGAACCAGTCTGCTTGTGGGACACTCAGACATTGGGGTGGATGAGGGGACATTTGAGTCTTGGAGGATGGATCCACAGCATGGAGGGAGGAAAGGGCATTCCAGGCCTAGGCAACAGCATCTGCAAAGTTTGGGAAGTGCCAGTACTGAGTGGTGGAGGGAAGTGGGGGAAAGCCTGGCTGTTCAGGGGGTGGGAAGTGAACAGATAGTCTGGATTCTCTCTGATAAGCTGTGGGGGTGTGGGGGACAGGTAGTTACGGCTGACATTTTGCTTGGCAGGAGACCTTGTAGTTCAGGCTGGAGCAAGTCAGATTCCACTTCTGCCACTTGATCTCTCTGAGCCTGTCCCCTTATCTGTAAAATGGGGGGAAAAGCCCTACCCCAGAGAGTTGTCAAAGTCACTATTCTGTGGGGGTGATGGGATTGGAGTGAGCAGTACTCAGAGAAACTGTTATAGGAGATGAGGTGACCATAGAGGGGTTGAGGGAGATGCTGATAACTCACTGAGAAGTGGAGGAGCAGCATTTGTCCCTGATGGGATATGAAGGGAGAGAGGGGTAAAGGGTAGTCCTGGTCTCTGCTCATGGCCTGGGGGAAGGGCTGACACTTCAGTATGGCTAGGAGGGGTGAAATGACCAGGGAGGCATAGCATGACACCAGGTAGTGAGACCTGGGAAGCAGGATGGGGTCTAGGACGAAATCCTAGACCTAGAACCAGGTAAGGAGGTAAAGGAGGGACCCCAAAGGGAGGACGAGATCCAGGAGGGTGTTTTGTGGACAAAGCCAAGGCCAGGGGAGATGGGCTGAGAGGGGGAGTGGTCCAGGGCCTGACCTAATTGCCCTTAATGCCAGGGGCCTTGCTGCCTGGGTCAGGCCACCCAAGAGGAGATGGGCCATTGTCCTTGGTTGTCAATAAATGAACAAAGCAGATTAATTTCTGCCTAACACCTGCTGTTTGGGAGAGACAGCCTCTCAAAATGGGAGGATCTATGGAGGAAAACAGTGAAAATTCAATATTTGCTGGTAGCTTTTATGAGTTGGGCCCTGGGTACTTAAAGATGATGGCTGTAAATCATTCCCAGGGCAGCAGGGAGACAGTTTGGTCTCAGGTGATGTCAGGAGATCTTGGTCAGAGCTAAGACTCAAGAGAATTCAGGTATCCCTGTTCAGGTATTAGAACCAGGAGAGACCATGAGACCACCTTGGGGTTACAACATGGTGGTGGCATTGGTGAGGTGGTGCAGGGGCAGGGCCTGTACTGGAAGGATGGACCTCAGGATAAGGGGTCTGGACTTCCTCCGGTGGGTGAGAGGAGCAGCGGAGGCTCTTAGCACTTCAGGATCTGGGAGGGGGGGATTCGGGGCTCTGCAGGGTCTAGGATGGAAGTGAAAGGCTAGACTAAGTAAGTGGTGAGGTTGACAGAAATATTGGACAGACTGGGAAGAACTTGACTGCAAGCTGGGTGTGGGGTATCAGGATCAGTTGTAGGTCTTTCTGCCTGTTAAGTTGGGGAAGCAGGTTGGGAAAGAGAAGTTAGTTTGGATAAACTGGGTCTGAATGGATCGCAGGATCTGCAGGTGGCAGGGGCTCAGGAGAGAGGACATGCTTGGGGAGAGCCGTCAGAGTAGATAGCGTCCTTGGATAGCCACAGTTAACATTTATGGACCGAAGGAGGAGCCTGAGGAGACGGGACAGAAGAGGCAGGGAGGCAGGAGAACGGATCCTGTGCTGCACTATGGAGCTGGCCGGCCGCTGACTGCTGAGATCGAGGTGAACTTAGACCCCAGTCACGGGTGTTCACTGGGGCCCTGGGAGAGAGGTCAAGGTCAGGGGAGCTCCGGCCCCCACTACCTCTCTCCCCCCACCTCCCATGCAGCCCCCACCATGGGCAACACGCAGGAGAGGCCATCAGAGACGATCGATCGCGAGCGGAAACGCCTGGTAGAGACGCTGCAGTCGGACTCGGGGCTGCTGCTGGATGCGCTGCTGGCACGGGGCGTGCTCACCGGGCCCGAATACGAGGCGCTGGACGCGCTGCCTGATGCCGAGCGCAGGGTACGCCGTCTGCTGCTGCTGGTGCAAAGCAAGGGCGAAGCCGCCTACCAGGAGCTGCTGAGCTGCGCCCAGCGAACCGTGCGCGCGCCCGACCCCGCCTGGGACTGGCAGCACGTGGGCACGGGTGAGAGCGCGCGGGGGGGCGGGGCCTAGGTCAGAGGAGGGGGCGCGGCGTGGGAGCAAGGAGTTGAGGTCTTCCCCAGACCCGCACGTGTGCAGAGAAAACCTCAGAGGGGTAAAATGAGTCTGAGACACTCCCACCTCCGCCGCAGGCTACCGAGAACGAAGCTACGACCCTCCATGCCCAGGCCACTGGACTCCTGAGGCAGCTGGCTCAGGGACCGCATGCCCCTGGCTGCCCAGAACTTCAGATTGCGATGACGCCCGGGGTCCTGTGGACTCCGAGGCAGCGCAATCCGGAACCCTCGAGGAAACTGAGCCAGAGCTGGAAGCTGAGACCTCTGAAGGGGCTGAGCCGGAGTTGGAACCCCAAATGGATCCTGAACCAGAGCCAGGGACAGAACCAGAGCCAGAACTGGAGCCGGAGCCCGACCTAGAGGCTGGGGACGAATCTGAAGGTGTGAGGCCGACCAAACCTGGTGGGAGGGCGTGGCCTGGGGGCGGAGGGGGGGGGGTCCACCTGACTGACCACACCCCTTCCGTCATCTCTAGATTCCTGAAAGCCTTAAAGCTGACAGGCCGCTCCTCGCCCTAGCAGGATGGGATCTAGGATCCTGCCCTGCCGGGGTCAGATGCCACGAAGGCTTCCTCTGTCCCAGTACCACTGAAAGTGAATAAACTCTGGAGGGTCAGCTTGGACTCTGTGATTCTGGCTCTTTGCCCAGGAACTAGGGTGTGGATTTGTACCTCTAAGTCCCAATGACCTGGGCAGCCCTGTGCCCAAAGCCCAGTCCTCAACCCCTTTCCATCCTCAATAGCCCAAGCTGTACCCCTGGAGAGTCCCCAGTGGGAGAAGGGTCAGACCCTTGGGCCCTGCTCCACAGCCCTTTTATCCTCGTGAACTATTTGGGGACATGTGTAGTCACCCGCCCCACCTCATGAAAGCCCCTAGGCCTGGCACAAAGAGCCAGGAAAAGGGTACTTCTTTCCACTTAGAGAAGGCTAGAGCTCACCACCTTGAGAAGTGAGATTAGAAAGAGAAAGGGATCTCAAGTAGGCAGAGCCCACACAGTTCATTGTAATTGTTTTAATTGTCTGGCTTCTCTCGGGACTGGGAGCTCAGTGAGGGTTGTGACCAGTTAACTGGTACACAGAAGGCGCTCTATACATATTCACTGACTAAATGAATAAGGACTTTGCAGCTGTGTTTCCAAGTTTTCAGATGGGAAAACTAAGGCCAAGGGAGGGAGACAGGGTCAACCTCACACAGCTGAGTCTGAGGTGAAACTGGAAGCAACAATCACCTTGGCACCTCTCCTGGTCTAGGAGGGGCTCAGAACTAGGAACGAGGGGCCTGACCCTCAGGCTTGATTGTGGCTGCTGCCAGGCTATGCCAACCTCTGCCAGAGACCAGCTGTGAGGGTGTGGGCAAAGACAGGGACAGTAGAGGCCAGTGCAGGGGGTGAAGGCAGGGCCAGGTGAGCTCTTAGCTTGATTCACAAGGCGTGTGTGACGCATACGAATTTTGGAATTCTGGATCCTATTCTGAGCTTCAGCGGAGGTCACTGCTGTCAGTTCACCGCACTGCGTTCCAGGCGTAGAGCAAAGTGGGGGGGGGGGGGGGGGGGGGGGCTAGGAACAGTCGGTGCCTTCCAGAGGAGCCCTGCTCCCTCCACCGAACCTTCAGAAACTGCTGCGTCCCAGCCCCAGTAAGTAGAGCACATAAATAAGGAATAAATACATGACAGTGGGAGAGGCAAAATGCTGGAAAGCACACCCCAGCCCAGCTGGGTCTCTACTACCAGGATCCCTGCTCCTTGAGTCTGTGTGAAAGCCAGGACCTCAGGCTCAGGCAATCACCCCAGAAGAAGGGAGATCCCCACCAGGACCCAGTGAGAGGTAGACAGCATGAAAGCTGAAGGAGCACCAAGGGGCCAGGTGGGGGAGGAAAAGACTGGAGAATGCAGACACCCAAAGCCATCTCGTGCAAGAACAAGTTTCTACTCCCAAGCCACCCCCTCATCCCCATCCATTCTCAGCTTCCCTCCTGCCCCCAGGCTTCTCCTCTGCTCAAAAGGCAGCTGGAGACAGGAGGGCAGATTTAGTTTGCCTGACAAGCTCCTGTTGGCCTTCAGGGACCAGGGAGGCTACTAGCAAGGACACAAACTCTCTGCTGTTGCCTCTCCTCCCTCCTGAAATGCTTCTGCCCTCCCCATTCCCCAAGAAACACGCAGGCTGCGGAAGCACAGAGCAGCCAGCTTCATGTTCTGGGGGCTGATCTGGAGCCCCCTTTCCAGGACCTCTGCCTGTAGCCCTCAACCAGTATCAGTCATCAGGCAGCAGGCGGCCCAGCTCTGCCTCATCCAGCCGGTTGGTGGTCATGATGTGCTCCAGCTGCTGCCGGTAGCGTGCTAAGTCCTGCATGAAGTGGGGCACCCGGGTGTTGTCCAGCACCCCATGGGGCCGGAGGTGATCTACATCCTCATAGGACACCTGCAGGAAGAAAGCTGGGCCTCAGGAGTAGGTAGGGTGCCCTGGCTTTCAGGCAGCTGGTCCCAGCTCTCTTGCAATGGCCCATAGCCCTTTGCTCCTGGAACTCCTCCCTCTCCCCTCCTGATCCACTCCCAATGTTATGTACCCTGAGGCTCAGTCCTGGGTGTTTGCTCTTTCTCTCAACACCTTCTTTTATCATCTATGTCCTACAACCTCACTCCTGTCTCCAGTCCAGCTTCCCCCCTCACCTCCAAACCTGGGTATCCAACTGCCTTCTGAACGCCTTCCCCGGGATATCCCTCAGGCACCTCAGACTCCCCATATCCAGCATTACTGGGTGCCAGCTTATGCCATCCCCACCCTCCTCACAGTCCCCTAGGTCACATTCCAGGTGGGGGCTTAGAATCTGTCACCACTCAGAGCGGCCACTGAGTTAAAAAGATCCACTCTCTGAAGATCTCTCCAGCTTGCCACTTCCCCTCCAACTGCATGGCCACTGCTGGGTTATGCCAGACCAACATCAATTCTGCAAAAGTGATTGGAAAGGCCTCCTTTTCCCCCTGCACTCCCTTCCCTAGGCCTCTCCCATATGACAGAGGGAGCCTTCTAAAGCAAACCACCTGTGCCACTCTTCTGCTCAAAGCTCCTAGGATTCCCCATTGCTTTGGATGAAATTCGACTTCCTCAGCCTGGCACAAATACCCAGGGCCAAGGACTTGTTCCCTGGCCATTTCTCCAGCCTCCTTCCCCAGGCCTTCCTGACTGCTCCCTTGGCCTGGAATGCTCTCACCTCCTTTGAAGTGCAGTGTCTACACACACACCTCTGGGCTGGCTCAAGCACCTATGTTGGCTGCCAGACTGTCATTTCACCTCCTGTGTTCACCTCCACCCACGCTCCCCCCATCAGAGAGGCCTGGCACCCAGTCCTCAGTTGAGTTCCAGTCAGAGGCTCAGGGAATACCGCGGTGATGGGGAGAGCTGGCTGGGCCCTCTGAAGGCCCGTGGTCCCTCACCTTGCCCAGCGAGGTCAGCAGCGGGAAATCGATGGTCTGGCGATGCCGCAGAATGCGCACGATGCCATCCAGGTACACCTGATCCTTGCTGAAGCAGCCTGTGGACACGGGAGGGCCGTGAGCCCTAGGCCCAAAGCCCCACCCGAACCCCCCTGCACCCCTGCCACAGATCAGGACACTCCCCACTGCACAGGCGCCCACCGGGCAGCGAGGTGTCAGTCTGGCCGCGCTTGGCGCGCACGCAGTACTCCCAGCGCACGTCGGCGTCCTGCACGTAGCGTGCCAGGTCCTGGAACAGCTGGCGGAAGGACATGTGCGCGGCGCGGTGGATGGTGTAGTAGAGCAACGCGGCGCGCCACAGGAAGGGCTGCTTGCGGAACAGCACACTGTGCAGGCTGGCCAGGCCCTCCTCGGTGGGGTTCGCTGGCCGCAGCCCATACTGCAGCCGGCCCTCGGCGCTGCGCCACGGCTGCCGCGCGTTGTTCACGCCCCGCAGGTAGTGGGTACCTGTGGGGTGGGCGAGGGAGAGGCTGCGCTGGGCCGCGCATCCAAGGGACCCTCCTGCCCAGCCTGGGTCCTGGTCTGCCCAGCTGGACCTCTAGCCAGCGACTCACATATCCTTATGCCTCTAAACTCAGGCTCTTACATAAGTCCCCTCCACCCCAAATTCATACTCACCCAACCCCAGGCAGCATGAAGACTCTCCTCAGGTGAACTCACACCCAAGGATCCAGAGTCTCACATACATGAACCCTCCCTCACCTGTCCAGGGCTACACACACCCACACAAACTCTCCCAAACTCACACTGCCCCCCAGGCCCCCAGAGAGGTGCAGGAACTCACACACTACCCCAGCCCCACATCCTGCATGCCCATATCATGCTGATGTCCCCAGCAAAAACCATCTTTTGCCCAGAGCAACAGGATTCTTGATGAGGAGGGACAGACAGCAAAGAATAGTAATTAGTGTCCCATGCTCGCTTTTCCAGGCTGGCCCTATCCCCTCCTAAACCTAGCTCTGTGTGTCTTCAGCTAATTCCATTCCCAGGATCTGAACTTCCACCCACCAGGGAGGGCCTGCATGTTGGCTGGGCTTGTGGGACCCTTAGGGCTCTCCCTCTAGCCTGTCTGGGCCTCAGCAGTCTTGCCCCACTGTCAAGGGAAATCATAGAGGAAGTAGAGGGAGGAAAAGATACCCAGAAGGAACAAGAAATGAGGGTGAGCCCAGAGAGTGGGCTGGCATGCTCTGGCCTATGTCTGTGAGCCAGAGGAAGGAGGTAGCTGCTCCTGAAGGGAATGGGCCCATCCTCCGGAGGGAAGGGGAAGAAAGAGATGGGGTGGGGTTACTGGAGACCCTCAGTGCCCCCCCTTGTCCCAGACCCCTCTCACCCCTACCCGCCCACCCGCCTACCCACACCCTGACCTATCTCGTGCCGCAGCATGCCCTCCAACCAATACTGGCGGGCTCCCGTCAGGTTGATGGCCAATGTTGGTCGGCTGTTCTCCACCATCATCACTGCCTGGGACAGCAGGTCCTCACTCAGCTGCACCACAACCTGCAGGCGGCAGAGCCCTGAGCCATGGCCACCATCCCAGGGGCCAGTGTGCAGGTGGACCCACTGATGCCACAAGGCAGCCAAACTGGACACTTGGCCACAGCACCTACCCTTCCCCACCTCCGCTTGGAGCCAGCTCCCACCTTACCGGGGCAGGGGCAGGGCCTACCCGAGGTCACTAGCTCCATCAGTGTAGAGCTGGGCCTGGCATTGCCCACTCAGCAGCCTGGTTTGGAGCATGTGGAAAAGGGGCCTCGCAGGCAGGGCGAACTCACCTCCCCAGCGCAGCCCTCCTTCTGCATGTATTTGCGCACAATGGACCAGATCTGGCACTTGGTCAGCAGCTGGCCCCCAGTCACAGCCTCAAAGTGTTCATAGGTACCAAACTTCTCCAGGACAGCCTCAATGATGCCAACGGCCTGCACAAAGGGCCACAGTGGCAGGTCAGGCCAGGCCTCTCAGGTGGTAGGGCCAGGGTGAGGGGGGAAGTCTGGACTGACCTGACGGAGGAACTGTCCAGAGGCCTCGCGGTACTTCTCCAGCACAGCCGTTGGCGTGGGCTCCTGGTACTCGAACTGCGGGTTGTAGGTGTAATGGGACTGGAAGAACTTGTCCCGCTCACGGTCCATGTTGGTTGGCCGCAGAGCTACCAACATGCAGGGGCTCTTGCTGGCACCACGGCCGGCATCCTTTCGAGTCTTAGCAATGTGAGGCAGGGAGGCCGCAGGCCGCAGGGTGCCCCCACCTGGGTCCCGTCCCTGTCCAGGTGGCGCCCGACCCTGGGTGCTGCCCCCCCGCCGGCCAATACTGTTTACGGTGTAGGTGCTCTCACTGCGACGCATGTGGCCACGGTGGCCCAAGTGCAGCTCTGAGAAGGGCTGTGGCTCAGGCCGGGGCCGCAGGGTTGAGCGGACTGAGAGAGCCAGGGGCAAGGCCAGGGACCGAGGCCAGGGGTACAGTGCTGTCCCATCTCGGTCTGAGGGCCTCAGCCTATGGCCCAAGGATGACGGACTGGATGGCGGGCTGGGGGGTGCCTGCTCATACACCTGAGCCCCTGAGTCCAGCACCATTCTGTCCTGGTGGTCACATCCAGCTGGGTCACTCCAACTCCCCACACGGTCGACTTCTGGAGACACAGAAAGGCAAGTGGAGGCCAGCATGAGTGGGTGTGGCCTGAGGACCAGCAGGCCCTGTGCTCCATCCACACTGCCCTTGCTGGGCCTTTGGTGGGCCCAGGACCTGACACCAGGTTCTAACCTGACCCCTCACCTCCACCCTAGTGTCCATCCCCTCCAGCAGGCTCACGCAAGCAAGATGGACTGGGGGAAAGCAGGAGGAAGAGTCTCATACACCCAGCTAGATGGTGGTTACTCAAATCCCCTTAGACTGTGAGCTTCTGAGAGCAAGGCCTAAGCCCCTATTCATGATTCTAATCCCTGTGCTCAGCGCCCACCCAGACTGGGAGTTTGGTACAGTGTAGCCTCAGCTGCCAGGATGACAGGTGAGGGGGTCTCACTACCTTCTACCTGCCTTCTACCTATGGCATTTTCTCAGTCTCACCCCACCCCTCCCTCCTGGCTCCATCCACTTCCTCCAGCCCATTGGGATTGGGCCTCAGTCAGTTTGAATGCCTGCAGGCCCCTTGCTTATGCTAGTCCCTCCACCTGGAATGCTCTCTCTCCCTGGGCCATCTGCTCAAATCCAAATTAGAATCAGCTTTTGGTGAGCAGAGGGAAACTTCAGCGAATCCAAGCCAATCCCTGGTCTGTCCCCTAGAGTCATCTTTCTAGTGGTCATCCAAGGCCAGTGTCAGGACACTCACCCCTGACTCTGTACCAGGGCTCAGTCCAACCCAGTCTCTCCCCAGAGACTGACTGAAGGCTCCAGCCTCCCAACTCTCCTGCCTGCTCAGGGACATAATTCCAGCATTTCTCTCCTTCCCTACATCTCCTGCACCATCAATCTCTTCCTCTCTACTGGATTCTTCCCATCAGTATAAACACATGTTGTTATTTCTCCATCTTAAAAAACAAAACAAAACCCTCACTTGACCCCACACGCTTCCAGCTCCACTGCATCTCCCTCCAGTGGTTTCCTAGGGCAATGCAACACCTCAAGTCGTCTATACTCAGTCTCCAATCCCTTCTTTCCTGTTCTCTCTTCAATTTCGCTTCACGTGGGGGCTTTTGTCCCCCACTCTCTATCAAAACTGATCTGACCAAGGTCACCAATGATCTTCACACTGATCAGCAGAATTTGACAAAGTTAATGACTTCATCTTGGCTTGGCCATGTTCTCCACTTGGTTCCCAAATACACTGGGACATGGTTCTCCCACCTCACTGGCTGTTTGTTCTTGGACTTACTTGCTGGTAATCCCTATCTTTCTGACCTCTTGACACTGTCATGTCCAGAACTTGGAAAATTCTCTCCTTTTCTCCGTTTATGCTCACTCCCTAGGTGATCTCATCCACTCTCATGGTTTTAAATATGTCAGCCCAAACTTCTTCCATAAACTTCAGACTAGTGTTGCCAGTTCTCCGTTCAACATCTTTACTTGAACGTCTAACAGGTATCTCAAACTGAACATGTCCCCCGTCTGGAGTGCTTTCCCCTCATATAACTGCAGGGGTCACTCTCACTTTCCCCAGACTTCTGTACAAATATCTTTTTAGAAAAGCCTCCCTAACACACTCTCTATAAAATAAACCTACCCTAGACACTCTCCACCACAACCTCCCCTTCTCCACAATATTGTCCTATGATGCAGTTATCACCATCTAAAGTACAGTACAAGTGAGCGTTACCTGTTTTCTCCTTTCAAGTGTTCACAGCTGTGTCCCCAGAACAGTTGCTTAATAAAAGAATGAAACCAAGAGCCCTTGTCCTTCTCGGAACTGGAATCATACCTTCCCTGCACTTTGCTTCCCCATCTAGTTCTGATCCCCTCCAGCTCCTCCCGGCACTCTGCCTAGTGACAAGCTGCTGGAAAAGATTTCAGGCCTCAGGCTTCCCTCCCCGGAACTAACTATACACTTTTCTGGATTCCTCAGTGGTCTCCGGGCCTCTGCTTGTACTAATCCCCTTCATCTCCACTTCTTTCATTTGACCTACCTCTTTGCAATTACCAGAATATGCCTGTTTCTTTCATGTCTCAGGTCCTTCTGCCAAGAATGCCCTCCCAATGTCTCCCCGTGGCAAACTCCTTAACCATTCTTCAGGACTTGGTTTAGGTCTCACTTCCTCCGGGAAGCCTTCCCAGCGTCTTAGAGGTACCCAGTGCCCAGGCGGCTTCTTTACCATCCTAGGCTGTCACTGTTGGAGCCTAGGTCCGTGTCCCCCCATCATCCCCTGAACTCCCTGAGGGCAGGGACGGGTCTGATTCACCCCCATGACCAAAGTAGCCAGCTCTAGATGCAGACTGAATGAAAGATGGTTGTGGGAGGAGCCCAGGCTGAAGGCGGAGTCTGGTGATAAATGAGAGGGTGTGGCCTGAGCCAATAAGAAACTCCGGGAGAGGATAACGTGGAAGAGGAGCCAATGGGGACTGGGAGATCGAGGAGGGGCGTGACCTCCAGCCAATAAGAGGCAGGGGATGGGGCAAAGGGCGTGCCCAATGGAGGGCGGGGCCGGAGGACAATGGAGCGGGGTTCCCTGGTAGATGAGGAGGGGTCGCGTCGAACGCCTTCTCGGCCTCTCGGGGGTGGGGGGATTCCGTCCGCGTGCCGCGCCCCCACCTGTTCAATCCTCTTCTCGCCGCCGCCGTTCCCACTCCGTAACCCAGGCCGCCGGCTGCCCAGCCCTCGGGAGCCGACACTGGTGACGCACGCACTCGGGCGCGCGCACGCTCAGACGAAGCCGCGCGGACTCGCGTCAATCTCCGCGGCCTCAAGCGCCCGAGGACATGGCTGGGGGTGGGGCCAGGCAGAGCCGGAGGGGGTCCGCCATCGGGTCACGCCCCTGGGTGGGGTGTTGTCTTAAGCCCGCCCCCTCCACCTCCGTAGTTGGACTCAGCAGTCGCGCGGGAGACGCGAGCTCGCTGCCGGTGCACGGACACGTGGGGATGTAGTCCGCATACAGCGGCGGAAGCCCGGGTGCTTGGGAAAGCAGCCCATATACAGGTCTGATGCCGGGATATGTGGGGCGCAGACGTATTTCAGAACTGGAGACAGGATACCTTAGGTATGTCACTGCACTTGGAACCCCTGACCTTCGCGGGGACTTTTATTTCTATCCCCCCTTCTCCAACGCACACAATTCAGGCGTACGGGGGCCGTGGCTTTATTCTGGGGGCAGCCGAGGGTCAGGCACAGGACCCCGAGGGGAGGCAGGAGGACAGCGGGGGTGCAGGTGCTGGCACGAGGCTGAAGAGTGCGCGTCCACCCGCTGGGGGCGAGGGCTGCGGGCCGGCCTGCAGAGAGCTGAGTGCGGCCAGGCGCTGCTCTCGGGACACGTCCCCGCGCAGGTCCAAGAGGGCGGAGACGTGATCCTCGCTATGGAGTACAGGTGCGTCAGCCCCGCCCAGCCCCCCCGGGTCCCTCCTCCCTTCCCGGCCCGTCTTCGCACCTCACGTCGGGAAATTGTTGCCGCAAGCCTGCCACCTCGAGACCAAGCAGCGTGGGGTCGCGGAG